AAAGCAGTATAAATACCGGAATGTCCAACTTATAAGGCTGAAAATTTTTTCACTTGTTATTTACAGTAAGATAAATACATCCCCCAACTTTTATTAAAATAAAACCATTTAAACTGGGTGTTCGGATTTATATGTCACTTAGTATATATAAATGAACGACTTTACCGGTTTCATCCATATTTTTTTAAAGTTCCCTAATGCTGTATAGAAGGTTCTTTCGCGAAGAAAAATCAAGAAAAGTGCGCAGAAAATTCGGAAATTATTGGAAACGTAGTGATTATTTAAGCCACGTGCGTTTGACAGTTTGCTTGAGCACGGACCACGCACAGCAGAAGAAATATCTCAAGTACCAAAAGAGACAGGCACTCTTTTTCTCCATCTTTATTCCAACAGTTATTGACAGTTAGCTATATGAGAGAAATTGTTTATAAAAACACGGTGCTTCCGTTTTTGGACTTACATTTCTTTACCATCCGTTGCCTAATTGTTATTTTTGTCAGTTAACTCTAGGAATAAAAAAGGCGGTTGAAAATACGTTTCTTTTGCTTAATTGACTTTCACTACTCTGTCATTCTGAATTTGACAGCTCGCACGCCGCAAATACATATTATCGCGTTTATCGATTAAAAAATATTGTTTTATTTAATTAGTCGTGCATAGACCATTCGATTAGAGCTTTTATCCAGTTTTCAGTGTGTCCAATGAGTTTTCTTAGAAGTATTTGTTCACAAATGATTAACAAGGGTGGTAGTTAGTAATTGCGATTCTTCAAAATGCCACCAGTTAGACGTACCAACCTAAGTCGCAGAACTCTCAATGCTGCAAGTTAAAGATATGTACGAAGAAGTCAAACTTACGTGCGAGAAATGAAGTTGAAGGACTGAAATTCAAGAATGTAGAAGTATTGCATTTAATCCCAATCGAGCTGCATTCAGTTACGACGAGGCAATCGATTATTGTTCACAACACGTCGTTGCTGTTGGACCAATAAGCGTTGTGAGTCTACATTGCAAGGCTTTTAAGTTTGAAAATAAAGTCCCTGAATTATGTTGCGTCGGTGGGAAGATCAAATTGACTCCATTGGTACCATAGCCAGAGCCACTTCATTCATTGGTTTCCAGAAATGGGCCAGATTCTATACATTTTTTGACTCATATCCAGCAACACAATAGTTGCTTTCAAATGACGTCATTTGGCGCAACAAAATTCACATTAATTCTATGCCTACTTCCAACGTAAGTTGATCTGGGATCACAGTGCAACGTATTTTGCTAGCCACATGACGGTACAAACACTTTGCTATACAATTACCTATATTCCATATATATATTTACCCTTTTTTTATTCATTATTGAACCCAGTTCATAGCTAAGACAGGGCAACGTCTGTCAGGTCAGCTGGTAATCATAATATAATAATAATAAGCTGAGAAGTTATCTAAACATAAGGATCTAGAAATAAAGATTAGCAGGATGTGGAACGTCAAGGCTACAGCAATACCCGGTATTGTTAGAGCTCTAGGAAAACTTAAAAAAAAGGAGCCCAGAAAAACTAAAAATAAATTCCGGGCCAACCATCAATCGCTAAAATAACAAAATTGCACCGCTTTGTG